TTCTTTCTGTCTTTCTGTCTTTCTGTCTTTGTCTTTCTTTCTGTCTTTCTGTCTTTCTTTCTTTCTTTCTTAATCCCCTTGGGGAACTTTAGGTATCCAGAAGTTTAAACTGTTAGTATACAGTCAGTATAACATAAATTAAAAGACAAAAACAGACAGTAGCAATGAGTTAAAAAAGCAGACAAACAAAAAAATAATAAATAAATAAGATGATGAATAAAAGAACCAGTGCCATTAAAAAAGTGTGATGTCAGTGGGGACAAGGGATGACAAGTCAAAACTAAATGACAAGTATCTTGAACAAAAATTCTGACTAGTCACAAAACAATTACAACAAGTCAAAGTGCTTTTTTTTATTTAATAGTGATTCATTAGTGGTCATTAACTCAACTTGCCCTCCACCCGTCCCCGTCGTCTCCCAGGTGTCCCGGCGGTCAGGTGACTGTGACCGAAGACTCAGGTCAGCAGCGTTGTGTGCCGTCGCCCTGTGGACCTTCTTCCTGCCAAAACGGTGGCCTCTGCCAGGCGCTGTCGCCCGACAGCTACCGGTGCCGGTGCCAGGAGGGGTTCAGGGGTCAGCGCTGTGAGCTGGGGCAGGTCAGAGGTCACCGGCTGGCCCCCCTCAGCCCCAGCTCCATCCTGGCAATCAGCATGTGTCTGCTCGTCTTCTTCGGTAAGAGCAAGAGTTATTTAAGATGTACATTTAAAGAGAATACATTAAAGGAAAACTGTAATGAACTTTCAATATTACACTTGGATGAATGAAACTAAGGTTTCCAACACAAAAGCCTTCAGACAACACAAACCAAACAGTAAGAGATTTATATCCATGTGAAAAACTTCTCCATTTGCTGTTCTAAACACTCCGCCTGTTTTCATTCCCAGGGCGTCCAATACCTACGCTCTGTCACGTCCTTCAGCACTTGTAGCGTAATTGTTCAACACTAAAGCTCGGCCTACTATAATTAACAGAAAAGCCCAAGTAAGGAGGTGGTTCAGAAACCAGACTTTCACCCGAGGAGACTGGTGTTCGTTTCCTGTGTGAAACATTGATTTTTAGATGTTGTTTAGATGCCTAAACCAAACCAAAAGCCCCATTTCACAACGTTAACCTCTAGTTTTATTTTGAAAGTCTAACCAGACGTTGCATATTTAGACTTGCTAACTTGACCGCGGCGCTACACGTCCAAAAACGACACCATGGGTGTTGAGCAAGCGTCCATATGTGACGAGATGGGATTGAGAACAGGTTGAAATAGAAGAACTGGCTAGTTAGCATGAAGAGTGACAATTCAACAAAGAGACTAAACAAGGAGCAACATATATATTAACTAAAACAAACTTCAACAGAAAATACAAACATCAGCAATCACCTAAACTGATCTAAAGGGGTGGTGATGGCGCAGAGGATAAGACACATGCCTTTGGTGTGAGGACCCGGGTTCAATTTCCACTGTGACCCATCCACCATTGTGTCCCTGAGCAAGACACTTAACCCCCTAGTTGCTCCAGAGGCGTGTGACCTCTGACATAAATAGCAACTGTAAGTCGTTTTGGATAAAAGTGTCAGCTAAATGAATAAATGTAAATGCAATGTAAAGAAAAAACTCCCAACATTTGAAGCTCTGAGATTTATGGGCTACTCTTTTCCTAATGTGAGCATTTAACTTATTACTAGCATTTCATATTAATACATGGATATAGGGCTCGCCCCGAATAGTCGAAGATTGGATGCTTCGATGGGCGGAGCCTCAGTCGACTGTCAATCTCACAGTCAAAGCTTCGCAGCGAAACAAGGATCACGACATTTTGGCGATATGGGGGTGCTCAACGTCTGATTTTACATAGAACTACCAGTTTTCTCCCACTAAGTTAATATACAGCCTATTACAATATACATTTCAACGTTTAATGCTGTAAATAAACATGTCAAAAGAATAAAACTTTCAATAAATGTTTTTAAAGTGCGTGAATAAATCCAAAATTGTAACCCTAACCCTGGGTCGTCAGTGCGCATGTGTAAGCGTAGCGTGAATGTTTGTAGTGGCAGAAGAGGAACACTTGCTGAAGAGACGGAGCCCCAGCTTCACTGGTGTTGTGCCGAGTTGTCCGCACCTCACGGGACTAATTTATCACCGTTGATGAACCACACAAAGAATATTTTTATTGTTTTTAAACAGCCGGCTACTTGAAATAGACCCGAGAGGAACCGCGACGTGCATGCAGTTGTCAGCAGCACGGAATGCATGCAAAACTCTGCACAAGAGAGGGAGAGAGAGAAAAGGGTCTTCAAAACGCCTCAGTGCAGATATTTACTGTGTAAGTTGAGTGAACAGAGACTGCAGCTCTGCAGCTTCTCAAGATTTAGGAAAGGACAAGAGTGGACCAACAAGAACTTAGAAATCATGTAACTGAATGTTACGTAAAATCTCCAGAAGACCTTTTTGTCCTAACCTTGTGTGACAGTGTGCTGAACAGATCAATAGGTTTTCCATCAGCATCGATCATGAACCCACAGCCAGCGCTGACGTCGAGACATTTCAATTACGTAAAGTTATTATGTACAAAACAATCATCGTGTCATTTTTGATTCATGATGGGGTGGTCGTCCCTGCTCCACAACAGTGGTATTGTTTGGACTTCGTTTCCCATCAGCCCTCTTGCTTCCTGCTCTCCCCTAAAGAGGACATTCTGAAGGAAGGAAGGAGGGAGAGGGAAACAGTGTCCCTCTAAATTTGACCTGGTGATTCTCCTCCCAGTACAGGGCTGATGTGTTTTTCACCTGTTTATAGTGATTACACTGACGTCTCTGAGTGAACATGATACTAATTTATTGAGGCTAAATGACTCCACAGAGCAGCTTTAATGAGCTGCTGCTGCTGCTGCAAACGTACAGGAAGGAAATGAAATCTGTCCCGCTGGTGCAGAAGCACATTTACGCAACGATGCATATTTATACTGTCCTCTTGCGCTGTGTGTGTGTGTGTAGCGGTGCTGGTGGCGGTAACAGTGTGGAACCAGAAAGGCAGCCGTAACAAGTTCAGGAAGCGAGGAGTTTACCATATCCCCGCTGAACAAGAGAGCTGGGAGGACATCCGAGAAAACATCCTCAACTACAACGAGGAAGGAGGCGGCGAGCAAGACCAGGTACACACACACACGCACACACACACACTTTTTAATGTCGGCACACTGTCAAAAGTTAAACTATTAACATTTTATTGATATTCCTGCAGAACGGCTACGACATCACAGAGTTGAAGCGTCCGCTGTGCTCCAGTTTGTCCCAGTCCTCGTCCTGCACCACCGCCCCGCTCATCAAGTCCTCACCCGGCTCCCAGGAGGAAGTCCACCCGTCGGGCTCCTCCTGCAGCTCAGGCGCTCCCTACCTCAGCATCCCGCATCACCACCATCACCACCATCATCATCATCAACACGCCACCAACAACAACTACACCAGCGACGCGACCTACGCTAACTACACCACTCATGTAGGCCGGGATATGGAGGCGAGCAGCGGAGGTGGCTATGTGGACGCCCCTTCAGGGTCTCGCTCCCACGTGGACTTTAAAAGCTACGTGGCACGAATCATCTGGGAGGCGGACAACGACAGCGAGGCGTTCGCGCCTGACGCGTACCACGTGTGGTGCGTGGAAGGCTCGGGGTCGTCAGCAGGGAGCCTCAGCTCGCTGGGGTCTGCAGCGTCACGTAGAAACGTTGGCATCACCCATGGCGACAAGGCGGAGGAGGAGGAGGACGAAGACGATGAAGGAGGGTTTGTTTACGACAGGCTGTCGCGGTGGGGCCCCAAGTTCCAGGCACTGAGCGAGATGTACGACCGGCCCCAGCTGACCCTCACGTACAGGGACGCAGTGGCCTACATACAGAGGAGCCACAGCCACGACCCGCTGCCTCATCACCACTAGGGGCGCTGCACAACAACAACCGCCTAAACATACAGTTAATACAGATCAGGGGGGACAGGGACTCTGTGCTGCGTTCAAGTCCAACCTGAAAACAACCAAAAACTAAATCAAAACAGGATGATAAGTCAGTAATTCTAAAATCAATATGATAATAATTATTATTGGCCACATACTATCTTAAACATACAGTACAACACATGCAGAGTTTGTTCCCTCATTTAACCCAACAAAAAAAACAGTCTTGATGCAAGCAAGGCTATTTTGTTTGAATCTTTTGTTTAATTTCATTGGTCCGTGCTGTTGATAATTGATGAAAATGGGGTGCTTGAACTTTTTTCCGCTACGTAACGTGATGCGTGACAGAAAAAGTTTGAGAACCATTGATTAGACCCATCCTAATTAATTAAAACTGCCCGGGGAGCAGTTAGGGGTTCAGGGCCTTGCTCAGAGATGACCCAAGCCAAACCACCACTCAGTATATTAATCCTATAATGACATATATGTCACAATTTTCATACTCAAGAAAAAGTGTTAAGCATTTTATGACCCAACGTCCAGATGAAAACTTCAAAATCTCATGTTTGTTTTTTAATTTAATCAATAATTGGATGGTAGACTTTTATAAAATGAAAGTTCCCCAACAACAAATCAGTCATCTACCACAAACATACACCCCCTGGACCACAGTTTGAATATGACTTTTTAAATGCTGTATATATCCACAGTTTGTGGCATTTGCAAAGGTCATTCCCTAAAACTTTCTGTCCACATCGCTCCAAAGAAAAACACACTTTCTGTTTTTTCGGCTGATTAAACCTCAGAGAAAAGTTCATGTGAGGGATGGGTTCAAAGAAGCAAGATAAACTCAGTACATTCGTTATGGAAAAGGAGGCAGTAAGGGGTGAAAACACAAGTAAACGTTTGGGGTTTCTTGATCACAGTAACCAGTAGATTTTTTAAAGAAGCAAAATAAAAGTTTTAATTACACATTTTGTAAATATTAAGGAATAAAAGTCTTAAACTCCCTGAGAGATTTTGAGTGTGAACTGCATTCATCTGAAGTTTTGTAGTCCCGCCCACACAGCCCTGGAGACTGATCAGCCACAACAACTGAAAACACCTGTGTGGGTGCACATATAGGGCCTTAAAATCTGATTGGCTGCACCAGGCACCCCGCCTCAAAATTCCCAATCATGATTGGCTGTTTGCCCTGATAGAGGCAAGCCCAATAGTTCAGTCTGTAATCCTGAATTCATTCAGTCATGAGGAGCAAACAGGAGACAAGCAGGAAAGCTGATGTGAGTAAAACAAATTCACACTGTGGCTAATCTCACTGACGGTAATGACACGTGTTTAAATTTAGCAATATTCAGAATCTACCGATGGCAGTATAAACTGGAGAAAAATGCAGATAAAACCTTTCTCAGTGATCAAACAGAAACAAACTGGTTATTTAAAATGCATTTCACCCTTTTTGGATGTGAACTACTTTGCTTCCTGTCTTCACTGGTGTGAACGCACCAGTTAAACAAAGTCCAGTAAATCTGATGGGACTTGAACGCAGCAGCAGCAGCAGCAGCAGCAGCAGCAGCAGCTCTGTTCCCTTGTGCAGATCGATGGCGACACTTTTCAGGGCTTGAGGTTGACGATGTGATCCTCATGTTTCCTCATGTAGAAAACCAGATGAATTACGAGAAGGGCTCGCGTTGTGGTTCAGTGATTTGAGATAAGAAAAGCACAGAGGACTTTTTCATAGACCAGCTTTACACAGGAACGTGTTTATTTAGGCTTTTTTAAAGCAGGTCAATGTGCTGGATTTTATTCCATCGGGCAGTTTGTGGATCGCTGCATTTTATTCTTAAAAAGCTGTTATGTTTTCTGGAGGAACATTAACATCAAACTATGTCAGAAATCTTGTGGTTAACTGTAAGAATTCCTTTTCAACGACATTAAGGTCTTGATGTGAGTCTTACAGAGAGAATTCAAAGTTCTTCTTTAATTAAGGGCATTTTAAGCTTTTTATTTCTGACCCTACCATCCAAGCGTGAAACCTACAAACAGAAAGTCAGTTTCATAAAGAAAGTCTCCCAAGGACAAGTTTTTCTTTCACCATCTTATTTCTCTTCGCTGCTGTCGGCACGTCCCCAGATTAACCTCCGACAAACTCAATAACCAGCTTTTTAATTCCTCTTTTCTACCTTCCTGTTGCACTAGCGGATGACTCAGAGTCCTCAGACAGGGCCGAGGAATCTGAATGCCAGTAAAAAGACTTGTAAAATAAGCTTTGATAGTTTTCAGATGAGAGATTATTTTTATATTCCCCTGTGCAGAAACGTCCCAGAAGCTGCTCTCCGCTTGCAGCTGGTCGTGCTCCGTGTTAAGGTGCTTTGAGTTGCTCAGCTTGTTGTTATGACTCTGTGCTCAGACTGCTGCAGTGTTCGGGCCGACAGGATTCTCCTAGTCGGTCTGCAAAGGCTGTAAACGTTTGTTGGGTGACGTCTTGGTCACGCAGAAGGTTGGAGGCCAGAGACACGGCAGTTAAATCCCACAGGGACATTCGATCATTGAGGTGAACTGGAAGGTTCAGCTGCAAAGGCCTAAATGTGTGAAGAGATTTATTGAAAAAGTGTTGCGCAAAACATACTCAAATTTTTAATCATCTGCGAGTTCAGATTTGAGAGTCAGAAACCAGCAGGACTCAGTTTGAGTGAGTAGAAGTGGTATTCACATTATTCAGGCTCTTTATGCTGCTTTGCACAGAACACATGGGAGAGTTTCTAACTATCTGCACGTTTTATAGCCAGCCACGATCTTGTGTTTACATTTGCAAACACTCCTTATTAATTAGATGCACTCAGGAAGGTATGAAGGAAAAATCCGAATCCGAGTTTTTTGCCAAAAAAATGACATAAATAAATGTGAAAATATATAAATATGAAATAAACAGATGTGCAAGTTATAAAAGAATAATAAAAAACAGTAGGATTTGTATTTCTACAAATATAAAATTGACAAAAAATAAAAATATAAAAGGAGAATTAGAAATATATATATAAGCAATATGGCAGTTTGTGCTGTGATATGCAAAAGTAGTTTTTCTATCATAATGTGAATAAAACGTACAGCGAGTTTGTGCTTACAACATCCACTGTGCTGGCTTCATGTGCTCCAACAGCAAAATAGACACCATCAAGAGGTCACCATCTTGATTTCTTGTGCATGTATGCAAGCCACATGCGTGTTTCTTCTCACCGTCACAGTTTAAATGTGAGGGATACAAGCAGAACAAGCAACCTGAGCGAAGAAGACGTATTCAAATTTAGGGACACAGCTTGTCCTGCAGCTTTCAAAACCGTGATCAGGGTTTTGATTCTGTGTCGCTGTCGTGCGCTCAGATCTGAACTTGCAGGTTGACTTCCACTCTAACGTTGTTTACTTAGTTTGTCTTTTCATCGCTCAACTTCCTTAAATGCTCAAGCGGCAAACCCTTTGTTTAGCCTGCGTTAAAGTGTCCAGCTTGATTCAGTGAGTGGTGGTGAGAGGATGTTTCTCAGAACGTCTCCCTGAAGTTGAGATGAGGACCAAAAAAGGCGAGTTTAGTTCCTCACAGGTAGACCACGCACATTTTCTCCTTCGTCCACTTTCCAACCATCCAAATGTGATTCTTAAATTTAAAGGTATTGATAAACAGCAGTTTTATTAACCACCTTGGTGTCCAATGTTTTTTCCCAGCCTGCCTCTCGGGCTACTTTGTTGTCATGACGCTACCTGATGAATGTAGTTTTATACGTAATGAGGAAACATCCCCCATCAAGGTTTTTAGGAAAGTCGTGGAGTGAAGACTACAATCATTATTTGCTAAAAGTGAGTTACTCCTCAGCCGACAAAATGGCAACACAGATCCAACTTTGAAAGGTTTTTCTTTGCACTTAACGTCAGAAAACATCTGTAGAAAGAGAATTAAAATAATAAAGTCTGGGTATTTGCCACAGGATTGCGATTGTAGCTCGGACAGAGAAGTTTCCAGGATATATTCTCCAGGTTTGTCTCTACGCAGTCAAGTTAGTGGAACAGTTTTCATTTCTCTTCTGGTACCTGATTTTAAAAATCAGGTTTTAGAATTGTACTCAAAGCTATGCATCCAAATGAAATAACACAGGTGTCCTTTCTAAGAAGCTGGTGTGCAGCTCCAAATGTGGTGTCCTGAGTTTTGACCTGTACTGTGCGACGCACCTGTTGATGTTTTGTGTAAATTCAGTGTTTTTAAAGTGGTTTAATATGCGTGCAAGTGTGTGTGTGTTGAGTTCACGCACACTTATTAGACTGGGAGTGTAAAGTGTAATTTTGCACTGAGAGGTGTTGATCTGTATGATAATGATGTACATATGGACGCTTTTATAGCAACTTAACATGAGATATTCCTTTTTGTATATGACTTTTAATAAAAATGGCTTTTCCCCAAATATGTGATCTGTTCTTTGGTGCTCCGTTTCTGATTTAGAGGAGAAGGAAAGATGATTAAACGGCATTAATGGGAATAAAAAAAAAAGGCAACCTGTTACCATAATTGTGTGGCAAAAGAAAACTGTTTTGGTGTGATGCTGATGGATGGCAGCTGTTCTGGAGCTTGTGATCAGGATCTTCCTCAGCAGATATTGTTGGTCCAGTTTCCACGGTAATGCAGATGTTCAAATGTGCATTTGTTTTTCAGAATATTTTAAAGACTTTGCATCTATGTTGGCTTAAAACATTTTAAGTGATTTGTAGTTTTTTTTTATACTGTACACAGATAGTTTGCAATATGGAATTGGATAGTGGTGCAAAGTAATTTATTATTAGGTATTTCCGTTTTATGCCACTTTACACTTTGACTTCACTACATTTTAGAGTGAAATATTATACTTTTTTTTAAAAGTAGGTTATATTTATTTGCATATTCAGATCATTAATGCAAAATATAATCATCAAATAAACAACTTTATTGATCCACAAGCTACCCAGCAGCATATAAAGTAGTTAAAATGAGCTCCAGCTGCAACATTAAAGTGATAAACACATTAATGCATCAAAAATTATAATCCAATGATATATTATAGCCTATATTATCCTGGATTGGGCCAGTCTGCGGAATTAGTGCTACTTTTACTTTTGTTACTTCAAGTATATACTTTTGTACTTTTTAAATTTTGAAAACAGGCCTTTTACTTGCCAAAGAGTATTTCTACACTGTGGTATTACTTTAAAAAAATATCTGAGCACTTCTTCCACTTCTGGAAATAGTTTCCACTTACTGACTTGTAGAGGTTTATAGTTCCTTGTGAGGCAACACTGCCACCGTGTGGTGAACGCTGATATTACACCGGGCTGGATGATTTTCCTCACTGTAGGTTATTTCCAGCATTTTACAGTTACTTTAACTCAGTTTTCACAAGAGTTTCAACGTGCAAAATGAACACAACACAAGGTTGTTCTCCTGACCTCAAATGTCAGCATGAACAATAAAAATCTATCAAATTAAGTAATGATGCAGTTGTAAAGTGTATCAGAACATTGTTCATCGATTAATTTTAATTGTTGCATTTTAATATATTATCATTGCCAAATGATGCTGTCAAACAGTAAATAACTCATCAAGACAAGAGTTTGAAAAGGTAATTTCATGTATTTATATACAGTATATATGAAAAACATGCAACTTGTACAAACGTTGAAATGTAGATTAATTGCTGCTGAATATACTTCAGTTCAATGCAGTTTACACTAGGCGACAGTAAATTCTGCATTCATACAAGGCAAGATAATAAATATATTCCTACATCATTCCATCACCTATTTTTTTTATTCTGTGTACCACAACATTTGAGACATCAGTTGTGGAAGAAGTACTCAGATTATTTTACGTAAAAATAAGTACACAATCTTACTTAAGTAAAAGTAGTATTATATACTAAAAAGTAAAAGGTCTTGTTTTGCAGTAAAATGTCTTTTTTGACTGATTGATTCTGACATTTTTAGATGTCAGCCGGCGACCTCTGGCCCCCAATCCTTGTTCCGTTTGTCTGTCTCTCTTGTTTGAGCCCAGTGCATCAGATTTTACTGTACCCATTAGGTTCATAACCTCAGGAAAGTGTGCATGATGAGTTAAACGTTTTTTTTATACATGCCTCAGAACCTGCACTGTAAATGAAGCCTTAAAAACATTTATTGATTGTTTTTTTTGTTTTGTTTTTCTGAGTCAACGTTGGCTGGGAAAATGACCTCGGACCCCTCAAAAACCCCCTGAAACACATATGACCACAATACAGAGTGGACATTGAGTTGACATGAAGCATATGCATTGTTGCATATGATGAATGGAGGTTATCATGCTCTGATGCAGCTGTGTGTGTGTTCTTACACGTCTACATGTCTTTGTGAGGACCGATATGTAGATATAGACCTTGACAGTGAGGACATTTTGTCTGGTCCTCCTGTTTTGAGGTTAAGTCCTGGTTTTAGGGTTAATGTAAGAATTAGATATCAGTTAGGGTTACTGTATTACGTGTGTGTGTGTGTGTGTGTGTTCGTGTGTGTTGGGGGTTGCAGCAGCTTGCGTCTGGTATTGTCTTTGGCCTCTATAACGGGGGGAGGGGACCCTGGATTGAATCAATGTTAAATGTGAGTGAGATCTGCTCAGAGTGAGAGAGCAGCTGCTTTTACTTACACCGAGGGTGCCTGTTCAAAAAGTTTCAGGTACTGTAATTTCCATTTTATGCTGCTTTATGCTTCTACTCCACTAAATTTGTCTGACAGCGTTAGTTACTTGGCAGGTTCAGATTCAGACAAATTCTAATCAACAAAAAAATGATGCAGTTGCAAGAAAGAAGTAAAACCTTCAACAGCTAAAACATTAATATGACGCTCACACATAATGCATCCATAATTAGAATCTGTTAATGAATAGGCCACTCTGCATGAGGAGTACTTTTAGTATATTTTCATGCTAATACTGCTGAAAGACTCAGGCTGAAACACTAACTGAATATTTATACACTGTAGTTTTGCTTCTTCTACTTAAGTCAACGCTCCCTAGTAATACTACCATCACTGAGAATAAGTCTAAATATATAAGAATATTTGCATTATCTAAATTGATGACAAAAGGGACTCCACACTAACCTTTAAAAATAATTATGGAATAATGAGCTAGAGAAAGCTTAAGTTTCTTAAGAAGTATTTAAAAGTGTTAACTGTCTAAATACAATTACTGAAAGAAGTTTAAGCACCAAATTCAATTTTCATTGAAGTGGAAAATATTAAAAGGAGCTGAAATTGTCAGTTATTGTGTGCTACAGGCAGTTAAACAGACAACTCATCCTTCGCTAAGCCACGCCCCAAACACGCAGCGGGCCAATCACAGTGCAGTATAGGACTCTCTCTACTGAGGTCAAACACTTTCATGGCTGCACTGCGTTGACTCTAATGTAAAAAGAGTCATTTTCTAGCTTGTCTTTGCTGTATTTTTCCAAGATATGGTCAAATGCTGTTCCTAGGGCACTAGTCAAATTCAGATTATAGAGAAAAAAACACAGAAAACCCTCTTTTTCAGATGCACTTGTGTTATTGAAAGCTCTGCACTCTGTTAAAAGCAGGGTATGCAGATGATAACTGATACTTTCACCCACCAGCATTACTTCCTTCAGTTCAAAGGAAGTCTTTTAGAAAGTAAAAAAAGAGTTTCTTTTCTCGTACATTTACAATGTTTTTCCCCATAATATTACCCTCAGCTCTGTAATTCTTTACATTTTATTTTATCTACAATGGGCATAATACGCTGTTGTTTGACAAAACAAAAGCCTCCATGACTTAAATCATTACATTTTAGGGTGAGGACTTGGGTTAGAGTTGAGGTTCGGCAAGTGGTTGTGGTTTAGAGTAAGTCTACAGGAAAGGAATGTAGGTGATGGAAACACTACTTTCTGTGTGTGTGTGTGTGTGTGTGTGTGTGGAGGTTGAGGCCACGCTTTCCCAGGCCAACACAATACACTCACAGGGGGGTGCATGTATCTGGAGGGAGGCCTCTGTCTGCCAGAATACCCTATATGTCTCTCACACACACACACACACACACACACACACACACACACACACACACACACACACACTTGTACACAAGTCTGCCAAGCCATCGAACACAGGGCTGAATGCCATGGTCACTATTAAACCGTGTGTGTGTGTGTGTGTCCTGCAGCAGTTTTAGGCTGATCCGCTGACTCTGAAAGCAGCTCATGAACTCCTGAAGTAACATTTCCAACACATCTTGTGAGTGTGTGTGTGTGTTTTCCCTCATTAGCAAGTGAGTGTTTTTCTTGACACGTGCTGGAAGTCATCTTTGTTTTCTCTCCGACTCTCCAACGACAAACATCACACTAAACTGAGACCTGCCTCTCGTCACTGCAGCATGGAAACCAGCAGTGTTGTTCCACTTCATCTGGAATTAAAATTAGTTCATTCATAGAGATGTTAATTAGAGGCACAACTGATCTGATTTGTCCAGATGAAGCAACGGAAGCACAGTAGAGATCCTTACAGTTGCTTTGCACGAGTTGTGAAGTGAAAGCATTTAAAATTTGTATTTCAAAGTTGTTGGGGTTTTTTTAGCCTCCACACACATGCCCTGGCAAAAGTTTCAGGACACCCCTATTTTTATTGAAATATAAGTTCAAGTGAAGTCCAGTCCAGTGAAAAAGCTGCCAAAGTTAAAAACAACATTTACGTCACCAAAACAGACATTTACAGATCTAAAATGAACAATGAAATGAAGGAGATTTGTTCTTTATTTCACTATAGGATCAACCACACAGGCTGTTCCAAGGTGTTTACTGTAGAAATATGTTTCAACTTTCAAGGCTTTATTTCCTTCCATTGGAAAATAGACAGATCAAGCCACTGGCAAAGCCTCTGACTTGTGTTCTTGATATATTCTGAAGTTTCAAGTTGAAAAGAAAGCATACACCTTCTTTGGTGCACCAGGTTCTTTCAAATCATTAGGTTAAAAATTAATTTTGGCCATTTTAGAAATATTTAAGCCCCAGTGTGTAGAATTTAAATAAATATGTCTTTGGCGACTCCTACTGGTAGTATCAAAAGATTTCATGATTCAACTAAAATTCAATATACACCACCAGTCAAAAGTTTTAGAACAGCCCCATTTTTATAGTTTTAATTGAAATATAAGTAGTTCAAGTCAACTAAATAACCTTGTCTGCAAATCTAGATTTTATGTTTTTAACTGAATCCTGTTTGCAAATGAATGACTATAGCCAGCTAGCTGAACTGTGTCCGCCTCAGTATGATTGTTTTAGTCAACCGAGGGTCAGTGGGCTAGTGAGCGTGTATAGGAAAAATTTTAAATGTCATCAAGTATGCTGTGATGAATTTAACTCCTTTTGAAGTTCTCACTCTTAAACTTGGAGGGCTGCAACCTATCATATTTGTTATAATTTATCACCCCCCCACCCCCCCCCCACCCCCCCAAACCGCCTGGAGGATTTTTATCAGAATTTCCTGAATTTTTATCTACTCTGTTTTTAAATTATGACAGAATTGTTCTTTGTGGCAATTTTAATATTTATGTTGATGACCCCACCAATGTTAATGCAACTGACTTTTTAAATATAGCCACTTCTTTTAACTTCAAACAACATGTCAAAGGGCAAACACATAACCGTGGTCATACACTGGACTTGGTTTTTACCCTGGGTGTCAGCATTTCCTCTGTGGAATTAGTGGACATGACCATATCTGACCACAGGTGTATTGTTTTTAGCTGCGATTCGCCTGTTACTCATGCCGCCTCACCAAGCTCCGTGTGTTCTCGCATCTTTAATGAACAAAGTGTTTCAAAGTTTTGCCCATTCTTTCAGAGCCAAAGCCAACACCTGTCTGATTCCAACACCAACATTCTGGTCGATCACTTCAATCATATCTGCTTGTCGTCACTAAATATTACTGCTCCTCTAAAGGTTAGGCCTACGTCTAAAGCTAGTAAGCAACCCTGGATAAATGACAGCATTCACAGCCTAAAAAGGGAATGCAGAGCGGGAACTATTTGCAAGGTTTCAGTCTGGTTTCAGGAAGTACCACAGCACTGAGACTGCCCTGCTTAAAGTCACCAATGACATTTTAATGTCTGCTGATGAAGGCATGTGCTCAGTCCTGGTACTCCTGGACCTTAGCGCTGCTTTTGACACCATTGATCACAACACCATGTTAGACAGACTGAGGCACTGGGTGGGGATCTCTGGTACTGCCCTAGAATGGTTTTCATCCTACCTGTCAAATAGGAAGTTTTGCGTGTCTGTAAACAACTACAGTGGGTACGGAAAGTATTCAGACCCCTTTAAATTTTTCACTCTTTGTTTCATTGCAGCCATTTTCCAAAAATCAAAAAAGTTCATTTTATTTCTCAGTAATGTACACTCAGCACCCCATCTTGACAGAAAGAAACAGAAATGTAGAAATTTTTGCAAATTTATTAAAAAAGAAAAACTGAAATATCACATGGTCATAAGTATTCAGACCCTTTGCTCAGTATTTAGTAGAAGCACCCTTTTGATCTAATACAGCCATGAGTCGTTTTGGGAAAGATGCAACAAGTTTTTCACATCTGGATTTGGGTATCCTCTGCCATTCCTCCTTGCAGATCCTCTCCAGTTCTGTCAGGTTGGATGGTAAACGTTGGTGGAAAGCCATTTTCAGGTCTCTCCAGAGATGCTCAATTGGGTTTAAGTCAGGGCTCTGGCTGGGCCATTCAAGAACAGCCACAGAGTTGTTGTGAAGCCACTCCTTCGTTATTTTAGCGGTGTGCTTAGGGTCATTGTCTTGTTGGAAGGTAAACCTTCGGCCCAGTCTGAGGTCCAGAGCACTCTGGAAAAGGTTTTCGTCCAGGATATCCCTGTACTTGGCCGCATTCATCTTTCCCTCGATTGCAACCAGTCGTCCTGTCCCTGCATCTGAAAAACACCCCCACAGCATGATGCTGCCACCACCATGCTTCACTGTTGAGACTGTATTGGACAGGTGATGAGCAGTGCCTGGTTTTCTCCACACATACCGCTTAGAATTAAGGCCAAAAAGTTCTATCTTGGTCTCATCAGACCAGAGGATCTTATTTATCACCATCTTGGAGTCCTTCAGGTGTTTTTTAGCAAACTCCATGCGGGCTTTCATGTGTCTTGCACTGAGGAGAAGCTTCCGTCGGGCCACTCTGCCATAAAGCCCCGACTGGTGGATTGCTGCAGTGATGGTTGACTTACTACAACTTTCTCCCATCTCCCGACTGCATCTCTGGAGCTCAGCCACAGTGACCTTTGGGTTCTTCTTTACCTCTCTCACCAAGGCTCTTCTCTCCCGATAGCTCAGTTTGGCCGGACGGCCAGCTCTAGGAAGGGTTCTGGTCGTCCCAAACGTCTTCCATTTGAGCATTATGGAGGCCACTGTGCTCTTAGGAACCTTTAAGTGCAGCAGAAATTTTTTTGTAACCTTGGCCAGATCTGTGCCTTGCCACAATTCTGTCTCTGAGCTCTTCAGGCAGTTCCTTTGACCTCATGATTCTCATTTGCTCTGACATGCACTGTGAGCTGTAAGGTCTTATATAGACAGGTGTGTGGCTTTCCTAATCAAGTCCAATCAGTATAATCAAACACAGCTGGACTCAAATGAAGGTGTAGAACCATCTCAAGGATGATCAGAAGAAATAGACAGCACCTGAGTTAAATATGAGTGTCACGGCAAAGGGTCTGAATACTTATGACCATGTGATATTTCAGTTTTTCTTTTTTAATAAATTTGCAAAATTTCTACATTTCTGTTTTTTTCTGTCAAGATGGGGTGCTGAGTGTACATTACTGAGAAATAAGATGAACTTTTTTGATTTTTGGAAAATGGCTGCAATGAAACAAAGAGTGAAAAATTTAAAGGGGTCTGAATACTTTCCGTACCCACTGTATGTCTCTTCGTTCTGTTCAGTTAAATATGGTGTGCCTCTGGGGTCGGTCTTAGGACCCATTTTGTTTTCCTTGTATCTGCTTCCCCTTGGACATATTATCCATAAACATGGCATTTCTTTTCATATTTATGCTGATGACACACAAATATACTTGCCCATCAGATCCACAGACCCTGGAATGCTGAGTTCACTTAACAACTGCCTTTGTGAAGTTGGATGTCAAATAATTTCCTCCAGCTGAACTCAGACAAAACAGAAATCCTGGTCATCGGGTCCCAGCAGATGACAAAACAAATACTGCCATCTGCTGGTTCCCTAGTAAATCACATTAAGCCTGTGGCAAAGAACCTTGGTGTTTGGTTTGATAGTAATTTAAATTTCAAGCAGCACACCACAAAGCTTGTTCAATAATGTTTTTATCACCTTAGAAATATAGTAAAAAATCTAATCAATGTTAACTTTTAAGGACACCAAGACCATTTTACACGCCTTCATCTCATCACGCCTGGATTAATGCAACAGCCTTTTCACCTGTTTAACCCAAAAATCTATTGATCAACTCCAGACTGTCCAGAACTCAGCTGCCAGGCTTTTAACCAGAACAAAGAAATATGACCACATCACCCCTATTTTAGCTTCATTACACTGGCTCCCAGTATGTTTTAGAATTGTATAGAAAATTCTATTTATCACTTTTAAAGCTCTTCATGGCCTCTCGCCTTGTTATATTTCTGACCTTAGTCCCATACACACCAGCACGTACCTTGAGATCCTTGGGCAGAGGTCTGTTGTCTGTTCCAGAGTCTCGACTGAAAACTAAAGGGGACAGAGTGTTTGCTGTCAGGGCCCCGAGTCTCTGGAACAGCCTGCTGGAAATCAGGTCAGCTGAGTCCCTTCTTAAAACATACTTTTATAGGAGAGACTTTCCCGACCTTATTTGACTTTATTTTATCCCTTTTATTCTATTTTACTTATTTTATATTTATCTTAAATGTGTATTTTAGTCTTTTCAATGTTTTCTTGCGCATATTGTTGTCTTTTAGGTATTGTATTGTTGTCTTTGCACTTGTTGAAGCACTTTGTAACTTGGTTTTGGAAAAGTGCTCTACAAATAAAGATTATTATTATTTTCTTCCATTACTGCAGAATACCAAAGAACATAGGGACAAAGTTTAGGTCAGCAAAGCTGATAAAATAATGTAAATTTCAAAGATGTTCAACTTTAAGGGATCAAGTAATGAGTTAACAACTTAGTTATTACAAACGTACAGTATATTTAGTGGCATCTAGTCGTGCTGATGGTTTTACCGCATTTGTCCACGTTTTTATATTTCTTGCTAGACTCAAATACAATGTAGCTTAAGTGGAATTTTGTTTGTGGTTTTCAACATCACAGTATCGAAAAATGTTTAATTTACTTTTAAACTTAAAGATCCAAAAGAATCTTTCCAGAAACAGTTTGAGGGAACTATTTCTTGTGCAGTTCAGTTAATTATTATATTTCAGTTAATTTTGTGAGCACCACAAACTGAATTCCATTCACCTGTAAATATTAACGATGTATACTTGGCAGCTGCTAGTAACTAACTGGTTGCTCCTACCCATTTGCCTTCCAAAAACAGGACCATAGTGGAAATAAGCCGTCAGGCTTTGCGTTTATCCTTTTGCTGGTATCTGTAACTGGGGCATCTCTTGTTGGAGGTGCCACTTTTTATATGATCACCTCCACTGTATTTGGATGGAGGCAGAAATCTGCGCTGAGAGATAACATATTAGGGCCTGAATATGTTTAACCAGTGATTTTCATTTCAAGTCCTAATGCTGCGTTTAAGACAACTCAGAAATTACACAGTTGAATTTTCTGACAAAACTGAAACTCTGCCCTCTGTGTTACAGAGCTGTTTTAATGGAAACAAATGACAAATATACACTACTCATTAACTGTGTGTAAGTGCTGTATATTTCCTACTGTTTTCACATTGTTTGGCTTTAACATTTTCTTGAATGTTTGTGCAGAGAAGATTACTTTCAGATTGTTTACCATAACCAGCTACCTGAACCATATGTTGACATTTATATGCAGAACAGGTTTTAGTATGCGTCTGTTATCTTAAATTCCAGCCATTATAGTTAGGGTAGATTTTATAAGCAGAAACGCTGACTTTTACTTATTTAACGCAGCATAAGAAACAAAGCAGTTTAAAAAAAGTTTTCCTGATCCTTAATTCATCTTGTTGCCCCGCAGATTCACTTTGACACCAAACAGCTGGATGGAAGCCACTGCTTTTCCATGAAAGTTTTCACCCCGTCACCCACCTAAACGTCAGACCAAATTCATTTCACTTTATTTAAAACATAATATAAAAGAAAGTTACACATTTCTGAATTGTGCTATTTACATAAACATACATTCTTTTAACACCTACATACAGTTTACATGGTTTGTTCACTGCAGTCTCCAAGCTTTGGAGGGTTTCAGGTTTACAGTCACAGGATTGTTCGTTTGTCTCACAGCCTTTTGGCTCGCTCTAGCTTCAACGAAGTAGCCATACAGTTCATATTTATTAAAAGGCACTAAGACAGGACAGGCTAGTGTACAACATTTAACGAGGAACTGTAATTCAACAACAGGTGTCAAAGCAAAATCATAAATAGTTTTTGCAGTGATCAAACGGAGCTCATTCATTGCTGAAAGATTTGTTTTTCATATACAGACATTGTTTTTACACAAAAAGGCTTAATAAATACCAGCACTGAAAAAAAGAAAAGCAAACACCTTTGCACAATTGTAAGAAGTTTCCTATGCAAGTCAAGTCAAGTCTTCCAGGAATGTAACAAGATTGTGCAACCAGGTTGCAACTATAATTAAAATTAGAAGGGGGGGGGGGGGGGGGGGGGAATTACTGAGCCATAACAGGTCAGGTGCATTCAAGACACCTGCAGGTTTCAGGACGTTACACAGCAATCACAAAATGACGTCGCTTGTTCCTCTGCAGCGGCGATTAAGTTTACACACTTAACGTAATATAGGAGAGGATAGTAATTAAACACGTTTAATTTCTCCAGTTCAGGAGTGGAATGAAATGTTCGTTGTAGAAAATGATTTCCATTTTCCTGAAAATCTGACTGAAGCACCGTCTGAGCTTTTAAGCCTCAGTTTCAAGAGTAGCACCAGTAAAACTCCCAAATAATACGTCACAGGTACCAAAATGTTTTTTCCAAACCAAGATGGTTTATAAAAAACCAAACACACCACAACCCACCACAGCCACCAGCGGACTGTTTGCTTCCCTGCCAGCATCCTTCAGTCGCTGTTGCAGACAAGACAGTTTTGTCTACAAGGTAGCTGCTGCTGGCTCAACTCAAACCAGTTAACTTGTAAATAAAAACCCTGCCAGCCTCCATAGTTGCAGTTCTAATAAAACCAAATACAAAGACCGACAGGAATCCTGACTTAGTGTTAAAACAAAAATAAAAAACTCCTGCTACATGTATTTTGCCTTTTCCTAAAATCGCATCCTGTTTGGTGACGAGCTGATGTGGTCTGAGTCACTGTGGAGAGAGAGGGAGGTAGCGTGTATCTCTTGGTCGAGTCCTGCTCAAGGATTGGTTGGTTTCTCTGTGCTGCTGGGCGGAGTCAGCATTGTTCCCGGGGCCACAGGCGACAGCTGGCAGTTGGGGTTGTCAATCCGACGCTCCTGAGATTTTCTCTGCAGGACAGAAGGGAAAAAAAATTAACATAAAGCCAAAAAAGATTGCATTTTAAAATTGTTTTGTAGAGACCTCCAGTGTCTCAAAACAACTAATCATTCCTCATTATTAGGGGTGTGACGACAAGACTCGAATCAAGATTGGGTTCACGAGATCGAGCCAAGATTTTAACACTTTAATGTTGAATATAAAAATTGGAGCATTAAACATTAACACTTTTTTGCATTCTGATGATTTTTTCCCCTGCACCAGTTTATAGTGAAAGTGTTTCTATTTATGTGAACAGAAACAATTCAGGCGGCAGGTGACAGTCTAACTGTAACAGAATCTAAGTCAGTGCTGCTCTCAGATCCGTTTCTCCTCTAGATCAACTTATTTAATATCAGCCTTGCTGAGTCATGATTCAGTCTTCCCTCCTGTGTCTTTGTTTGGAGTAACCTCTTTAAATGAGTCTGTGGCACCTTTTCACATCAATGGCTATTTAATTTTAATTCAGTTAGAAACTCCTGGACTTTAATAGCTCCTTGTTTCATCAGATTCTCTGCTTATTCAGAAGCTCTCCCACAGATCTGTGATCTGACAGGCCCAGAGAAGAGGCAGAATATTCCCAGACTAACGTCATCATTTAATGAGAAGTCTACCTGCCCTCTACTCTGCGGTGCATTATGTTTTTGATCTGCTGGTAGTAACGTTATCCCCTTCATACACTTGTGATCCACATGTTACTTTAACAGCTCAGAGTGCAGCTCACAATCCCAAACAGAGCAGGCTGCACTTCAGTTTTTACATGTTTGTTACAAAAGCAGCTACGTTACCACTCGTCACAGCGGTCTGGTTGATTATCAGGGCGTACGTAGGGCTGCAACGATTTAGTCTGCGTAAATCGACAACATGAAATTTCATTGTTGACAGCTGGCCAGTCACGCCCACAGTGTCCTGGTCCCAGTTACTCAGACCACTGCAGCAACAACAGAGCTGCAGCATTTCCTATCAGCTACATTGATTTATTTGAGGCGACCCACTACAACATCAACGCTGAGTTAGTTGCAGCCCTAGGCCAGCTAGTCACTTCCTCTTCTTAGAAACACCTAAGAAGTGTGTGTAGTTGTGTACAGGGGCTGGGTGTTAAACCTTTGGAGTAACAGACAGATGAGTAGAAAGTTGGCACTGAATTATAAATTAGTTTAGCCTGCATTTTATTTAGTTCCTATAAAGATCCTTAGTACTCGTACCGAGCCCAGACATTGAGACTTTGTCGTAACAGGTAGGTAGAGGAAGGTGTGTGTTGCTCACCAGCAGGTCCAGGTAAGCCACGTGTGTCTGGATGTTGTGTCTGTCGTCAGCTTTGACTTTGGCGAAGCTCTTGAGTTGAGGTGTGGCTTCTGTTCTCAGTGTGTCCATGAAGGGACTCATCCACCGGACGCAAGGAGCCACGCTCTCCCACGTCAGGCCTGACAGAAGACACGCAGATGGACGGATTAGGAGTTAAAGCCCATGAAAATGGCTTCACTGAATTTTGATGCTTAATGATTAATCTCTTTCTAATTTATGAAGAGAGGAATGCTGGTACAGACTCAAAACTCAAGCAAATAAAACTAATTTCCATTGACAGGCAGCTGAAACCTAAATTTGTTCAGGTGATTGAAAAAACCAAAATTTACCCGAGACTTTATGAACAACGTCAAACGTGGAGAAGTGGCAGAAGGCAGCTGCAGCAAGAACACTGTAGCTGTAGTCCAACGAGTTGATGTCCATCATACACAGATCCAACAGCTGAAACACACACGGGTCAAAGGTCAGAACGATGAGTTCTTTAGAAGCAGCCTGGATCGTAACGTTACGTTTGTTTTCACCGTGTTAGTGATGCAGTGTGAACATACCTGTGTGATCTGGATGTACGTTTCTTGTGAGAACTGTGGCACCAGGAAGTTCTCTCCGTCCGTCTGGGCTTCGACCTGAGAGTACAGCTTCAGCCAGGAGATGGGCGTCTCCGGACACAGATTCCAGTCCAACGCCTGCAGGACGACAACACATGAATTTCAACATAGAACGGGACAGATGAAGTTTACATCCATGCTTAATACTTTAACTATTAACATACAAGTTTTAGGGCTTCTTCAATACACAGTTGAAGAAATGAGTTAGAATTAAGTTTCAGTAGTTTACAAACATGAAATCATCCTTCATTTTCACATTCTCTTGTCAAAATAACCAGTAGGTACCAAACGTTTTGGAATCCGTACAGTAGATGGTTTCAGCAGCAACATGCAAACTGGCTGCAACATATTCCTTCATCAAATGGTGTCCACAGAAAGTGCTTCTTTTTGCCAGCGACAGGCTCAGGTTGTTATACCAGGTGCCTGATGCCATGGAAAGGATCCTATGGATGGACCCCTCGTGACACCCTTTGTTTAACAAAAAAACTGAAGTCTCGTTCAAGGACAGTTCCCGCTCTGAAATCTCGTGAGAGGCGGGTTATTGCAGGAAGACAACAGAGTTTGAGGAGTTGGTTTTGTTGGAGTAATGTTAGGAAGTAAAGTCTTGCTAGAAGCTCTCTACATACACAAACTCCTCTCCCTCGTTTCCACCAGCGTCTTCCTGCAACAAGTCTTCTCATAAAATTTTAGAGAGAACTATCCTTGAGCAAGACTTCAGTTTCCTGTGATGCTCTCAGACACCTGGTGTAACAGTCTGAGCCTGTCAGTGGCAACAAGAAGCACTTTGGGGATGATATTTTGACAAAGGAATACGTTGCAGCCGGTGGAAGCATCTATCAAAATAGGGCTGGGGTTTACAGAAGTGAGCCTTTAATGTTCTGAGTAAAGATAGATTTGGGATCATAGATCTTACTGTAAAATGTTATTCAGTAGTAGTATGCATTTCAGTAAAATCTGTGGTGTAGTAAACCCAACTTCTCAGTACATACAGTGGATTCTAAATCTAAAACTAATGGTGAGAAGTCTGAATGGATCTGATGTAGTTCACCATATATACACATTTTATCGTACCTTCAGGACGTGCAGCTCTGTGCGCTGGATGTCCCACATGTCGCAGGCGCCATCTGTGACGTAGGCAAACTCGTAGATTTTGGGAGGATAGATTTCCTAAACAGATGAGAACAAAGTTAAAACTTTTTGAACGTAAGACATCTAGATGATGGAAATTTAAATTAGTCCCAACTTTGATTTCTACAACACTTAAGTATAAATTTGTAATTTTATTGTACACTTAATGTTTAATTTGAAATGTGCAGCATTCGAGTTCTGGTTTATACATTTGTTTGTGCAGCTCGCGAACATCAACGTGCATGAGAAATTAAAATATATAAATTTCATTTTGAATCACTTCCTTATGCTCAGTATGTGGGAGTGTACTTATGGTTAGATGTTGAGGACGGACTCACCTCTATCTTGGAGGCGATGAAGAGCGCCGTGATTCCGATGAGCTGCAGGTAGTCTTTGTTGACATTTTCCTGAGTCAGCATGAAGCGGTCGAAGTAGTCCTGGGCGAGGTAGGTTGTCTGCCGGTGGAGGCTGTACACCTCACTTACCTTCACACACACACACACACACACACACACCCCTGTTTTAACCGACTGTTTAAAATGGCACTAATCATGAGCTTCTGCAGCTTAAACACATCTGAAGTGTCACAGAACACATGTCCACTACTCCCTCACCTCGAGCAGCCAGTCCAGCAGGATCGCTCTCATCTTGGGCTGCAGTTTGGGATGCCGCTGCAGGTAGCTCTTGTCATGAACGTACTTCAGCTCTTTGTTGAGCATTTTGATCCACACGTCGTCCGAACTGGCCCAGCTGGAAGAGAAACACCAGGTTTTAATCATGTTTGTTGTTCATTAAGAAGAGCCATATTGGTTTTTCCTCGCTCTCAACTGTGTGCAAATCCAACATCTCTATTTAATGTTCTATATGTCCAACGATAAAGAGTTGAGGCCAACTTCACATCTGAATACATCTTTTCAAAAAGTTCCATGTCTTTACAGCAACTTTAGTTGTATAGCACCAGGGTAAGCTGTGTAAATGTGCTGTAAAGGGAACAAAAAACTATTTCATGTCGAGAGAAAGATCTGGATGTGAAGTATTCAAGTTCAATCATTAAAGGTTTAATTCCTCCCGAGTTTGTGCAACTTTAATCAGCTGGTAACTCACATTGAGAAGCAGCATAACCCTGAAACTGGATTAATTTGTAACATCTCAACATGAAGTGGGGAGAAACAGCAGCCTCATTGTGAGGCTTAAGTCAGTTACCTGAGGCGGGGAATGGGGGAGGCCTTGATGAAGAGGTTCTTAAATGTGTACTGCTTGAAGCTGGATGGATCTGCAGGCTCCAGCTCTTTGTGGGGAGTTTCGATGAGGACACATGGACTCGCGCCATCCTCCGACCAACACTTCTGGGGAGAGAACAAGATAAATAAAAATAAAGTGGTTTAGACCTTAACTTACACTCACATCTCCATGGGCTTAATATTGAATGCATTTGAAGATTTCTTTGCACATTGAGATGCCGTTCAACAATACACACATTCAAGTCCTATTTTTCTAGGCTTATGATTTGTTACTCTACATGCCTCATCGCATTTGGGTGGTTCTTATTCCTTTTTTTACAGCCATCTGTTGCAGTGTTGTAATATAAAGCACATCAAGTTTACATGTAAATAAATGTGCTATAAATAAGTTTCTGTGAACAAAGTGTTCCAATCAAGCTAACAGGGAGCACCTAGTGGTGAATAGAAGGTACTGCATGGTAACTGCAGAAACTCCTGAGTCACTTTTAGTTGTTCCTTCACTAACCTGACACCTAGATAAAGCTAACAGTAACATAAGGGAGCTGTGTTAAGTGCTTGGGAAAATAAATAAGTAGCGGTCAGACTAAACAGGGATAAAACCAAATCTGAAGATAGTGGGCATATTGAACCAGGGTTCAACAAAATGGATGCTCAATATTGGTAACGCCAATAAAACTACAGAGTTTTAAAATTAGGCAGGACGTGCTGGAAGGGAGGGGACAAAAACACAGATAATGAACTAGTAACACACACATGCCAGTCTCCAACGCTTATCAGTTATAACCACACACACTTATCTAGAGTTCGTGTCATGTAGATCCACTGACCTGTATTTCATAGCTTTGTTTCTTGGCGGCAGGTTGTAGTTTCTTCTTGGATGGCTGGAAAAGAAATTAAACTGGTGAGTTGATATCATTTCCGACATCTACAGCAGGATCATAAACCTAAACGATTCACTATTGTTCAACCTGACCATTATTTTCACAATTGATAGTCTATAAAAAGCTCTACGTTAGATTAAACTCTTACCCCCCCCCCCCCCCAAAAAAACCAAACACACACACCCCACAACACTGTAAAACGGGCATTAAGGACAGTCTTAAAACTAATACCAACACTGAAATTAAAAAAATAAAAAACACACTACACCCACACTCAGGCACCAGTATTAAATACAAACCTCTGACTTTCTCTTCTTCAGTGGGGCTCGGACAGTCGGTTCAGGTGCGTTTGAGTCTCTGGTTTGCAAAGTGGTGCGACCGCTGAAATGAAAAATATTTTTATATGAAAAAAAAACAAAAGGTACATCAGCATCACAGCTTTAGGTTTACATAGGAGATCAGAAGACTATGGTTTGATTTTTAGCTTGACCACTATGTCGGTTCTATTAAATATGTTTAGTGGATTTCAATTACTCGAACAGTTGCATCAGTTTATTTTCTCAACTCGATTAAAAGGTCCTGTGATCCTACAAGTATTAAGATCCCTGAGTGAGATGTTTTTAAGTGACTGAAATTAAATTAAACACTTGAGCTGGATAAGGGCTGGGGGATAATTCATTGCATGTAGTTAAATATCTTATGTTTCTTGAAATAGTGGATCAGAACAAGAAAATATCCTTAAGAATATCATTACAGCAGTTTCAGTCCCATCACCAGTACAGAGAACTATTCCTCTTTCCAGTGAGACCCCCTTTAGCCCCCCCATAGCACAGTTTAAGAAACTACCACCAGTTGCTTACCTGCGTCTGGACATTGTGTCGAATGTATTTATGGCTCTTCTGCAAGGAAAACCAAAAAGAGAACAGGTGAGATGCAGATGCAACTTTAAAAACCATTACTGTCAAAAGTTCACATGTGCAGACACTCTGAAACAAAGACTGCCATTATAATGAGGACTTATATCAATATATTTGATCAAATTCTCCTATCATGATCTCTGGGGCCGTGCTGGGGCCATGTTGTGGAGCCACTGGGCCCCCAATAATTACAAGACGCAAGTTAAGAGGTGACTGTGTGTGCTGCCCTGGTGAGGTTGTATAAGCCTGTAATAGGCCACAACCAAGTAAAATAACTATAATACTATGTAAAAATAGCCCAACTGGCTCCTGGGAAGTCCTGGAGGAGTCAAAGAAGGTCCTGGGATTCATAAAGCCCCAATATATAAACAGGACATCACATTTTATAAGGCTCACTTTGGACCTAAAGTTAAGATGCGGTTAGCTTGTGATACCAGGAGACACAGGTTAGCTTGAGACCACCGACCAAAGAGAGCCAAAAGTAGCTCGACAAAAGAATAAGTGTTAGACTAGCATAAGCTAAAGCACCACACGTGAAGACCACGATAACCACCTTTTATAGTAAAACTGGTTTAAATGCGTTATAAAGATCCAAAATTAGCCAGCAAAGCTCTCCCTCTCTAGCTAGTGTGGCGACTCCAGCCTAAAGAAAAAGGAGGGGGGCTGATTGTTCCCTCGATTTCAAACAAAAAAAGCTCGAAAATACGGGCTTTAAACACAAATTTCGTGACTTCAGCGATAAGGCGAACTTCTTAGGGCAACACTCGTGTAGTTTAAATGTACGAAACCGCAAGACTATTAACTTTATTTGAGGATTGAAACTCAAAGACGCGCCAATTTCCGCAGCTCAAAAGCGGGAGGATTTGAGCCCTGCCTCCCCGAAACCTCCTCCAGGTCTGCGGGGGAAACCGATAGAAATGACCGTTAAAGATAAACTATATAGACTTTAAACGAATCTCAACAGGTTGGATAAACTACTGGGAATCACATACCTAAAAGCAAACCTCTTCAAAGTCCATTAAAAGTCGGAAAAACCGAGACCACCGCGAGGCTAAGTTGTGGAGGAGAGCTACAGTAATTAGCAAACTTAGCCGGGTAACTGCTAACTAGGTCAACAATAACCAGCTAAACCCTGACATGACGATAAACTGGTGATCAATAATTGATGCATATAAACACCTGAACACTTGCTTGAGTTGAATAAACAGCCAACAGAGCAAGAGAAACTGCAAAAACTTTCTCTGAGAGTTTTGAAGCAGACTCGGTGTATGAACTTAACAGACAATCTACACTAAAAAAAACAAACCAGATTCTCACTAAAACACACGTCCAGGATCAATGCAAGATTCAAGAGAGGTAATGTAGATTACACGGGTAATGGAAACCCTTTTAAATAAAGGTAAAATATAGGTTTTAAAGTAAGATAACGTTATGGCTGCGGCGCCTGACTTGTCCTGATTTAAATCCAATCAACACGAAACTGCGCCGGGAAAACGTGAGATTTAAGCCCAAAATGCACGATTCTAACGCCAGTAAGTTACTGACAGTATTAATATGTTATAAAACTACATAAAGCAGTATAAAGGTTCCCTGCGGCTCGGTGATCTTACCTCCTCGGTGCTGAATGAATGAATGCATCAGCTGTGGCGCCGGCGCCAATCCTTATATCCGCATAAGCCTGCCGCTGCCTACTGCGCATGCGCGTTCCCGGTTAACATAAACGCGCTAAATGTTCAAATCTCAACTGAGATTTTTACAAACAAACAACACAAAACGGTTTAAAAGGGACTGATTTAATCCACTCAGGGATATCACGGGTTATCAGAAGCGCTGTGACGCGATTAAATGGGTTATTTACCGTGTTTAACCGGAGCCTGCATTCATTCCAACGCACACCGGAACGTAGGAAGGTTTTTTAAAGTAAACACCGCTTTCCGTAAGTTCCGGTTGAACTTTAACGATCCGTTAGTCGCCCTTTAATCGTTTCACGTCGGTTATTTATTCTTACATTATAATATAAACGTTATTTCACCGTTTTTTTTCGCGGCACCGAAACAGCTTCCGCGTTTAAGTCCCGCCTCTGGGAGGGGCCTCCGTCACTTCGAACCAATGAGAGAGCGAGAAGTCAGCGCCGCGTGCTTCCTCCGCAGAATGTAAACAGACGGAGCACGTGGAGCTGCTGTCAAACAGCCGGCTGCTGCTGACACGCGCGCTTATTTCAGTTTTATCTAATCAATAACTGATATTTGTGATATTTAATAAGGCAGTGCAACTATATATGAATACTACGCAATGTCCGGTGGTGAAAATGAACTGGTTACAGTTACTCGCGTCTTGTACGTAGTAATTAAATTAAGTATTTCTTCCACTCCAGAACGTTTCAGAGGTAAATACTGCTTTTTTTACTCCAATACATTTACAAGTTACTTTTCAGATTACAATTTTATACACAAAGCTCATCAGCAGTTTCTACATGTGCTTTAGATGAGACTACAGACTAGTCTTAAATACCAGGTATCTTATGCAACTTATACAGTATTTAAGAAATACCTTAAATATCTCCACCTCAGCCAGCTACAATATTACAATGCTGTTAATGCATCAGTAATAATAACCCAAACTACTTTACTACTTTGATATTTAAGCACATTTTTATGATGCTACATAAGTAAAATGTTGGATGCAGTACTTTTATTTACTCTGTAGTATCACAACTTTTTCTTAAGAGAAGGATCTCAGTACTTCTTCCACCACTACTAAATACTTTTTTTGTTTTAGTGTTTTGTATAGTATTCTGTCCGTTATAGATTTGAATTGTAAGTATTTGTACAGAGATATGCTTTTCATTGTTTTGATGACAATATAATCTTAACTCAAGGTCCACTTACTAGCTTTCTCCAAGGTTTTCATTGGCATCTTATGGGCTTCTTCAGCAAATGACAACGGAGCTCAACATGTTTACATCCATACTGGGTCTAGGCTTCATTTCTAAATACTTTATGACAGCGCTATACGGTCATGGCCAAAATATGGGCATTTCTGTCACATAATCATCTTCTTTTGTCAACTGCTCCAGGTTTTAATGATTTTATGGGTTCCTTCTGGAATTCTTTGTATAGTCTTCAGATTTCATAATCTCTTGCACACAGTCAAGACATCCAGTGCCTGAAACAGCAGATCAACCCCAAGACATCAGTGAACCTCCACCATGTTTGACTGTAGGGACAGAGTTCTTTTCTTTGAAGGCCTAATCTCCTTCTCTGAAAACAGGAGAATGAAGTGCTTTACCAAACAGCTCTATTTTAGTCTCATCTGTCCACAGGACCTTCTCCCAGAAGGTATTTTGGCTTCCTCAGGTAAGTTTTGGTAAAGTCTTTTTAATGTGTTTGTGTCAGCAGCAGGGTCCTCCCTTTTCATTCAGAATCAGAATCAGTTTTATTGCAGGTATGTGTACACATACGAGGAATTTGACCTTGGATTGTACTTAGCTCTCACTGTGCTTACTCACACAATAATACTATAACAATAATAAAATCAGACACAGGCTACAGTATAGAGAACACAAATATACACTCTATAAACAGAAACAAAAACAATATAGACATATTGACAAATAGTGCAGTGAGCAGAGTGCAAAGGATGCTGGAATAAATAAGTATAAGTAGTTTGTGCAGGAGTTATGACTTGAGGTAGGTGGGTGCACAGGAATTGTTCTGACACTGAGTCAGAAATCAGCTGTTCATCAGAGTGATGGCTTGTGGGAAGAAACTGCTTCTGTGTCTGTTGGTTTTGGCGTACAGTGCTCTGTAGCTCCTACCAGAGGGGAGGAGCTGGAACAGGTTGTGTCCGGGGTGAGATGGATCTGCAGTGATGTTTCCTGCCCGTTTCCTGACTCTGGTAATGTATAAGTCCTGAATGGAGGGCAGGTTGGCACCGATGATCTTTTCTGCAGTCCTGACTGTCAGATGGCGACGGATAGTGCGAGCTGACCCTGTTGTACCCTGTGTCTTCAGGTCAGCTTGAATTTGTTTGGAAGTTGATCGAGGTTGTTTATCCACTATACGAACAATCTTTGCAACTTTTCATCAATTTTTCTCTTTTGTCCATGTCCAGGGAGGGCTACAGTGGCCGAGCTCTGTCCACTCTGAGCTAAATAATATGTGTGGGCCTCCATTTGTCCAAACTACACTTTCTTCTTACTTCTAATAAACCAGACGACTACTGCTACTACTAATGTTACTTCTTCTTCATCGGACGTATTCACTGTAGTGACGAAACGCGCTCTGTAGAGACTTTTGTCCATTTGGGCTACTGTAGAAACATGGTGACATCCATGATTTGTATGTATGTGATAGAAATGGCTCATTCTAAGGTAATAAAACATAACGGTTAATTATGTAAGGTCTTTATACACCACTGAAAACATAGCATTTCCGTCAATAGATCCTCCGAATACAATTATTTATGAGGATTTTGAAAAGATGTCAATAATTTTGTCCAGTTATTTTCCGCTTTTTTGTGATGTTTCAATGCAAACAAAATGAATAAACATGACAAAGAATTTGAACTGCTGACCATGACTGTAGGTGTACTTGTATTGTTTGTATTGTTATCCTTGACATTATGAATGTCTTGAACAGTAATAGTACTGTAAGTATTCATACTCTTTACTCAAGTAAAAATAGTCATACCTCAATGTAGAAATAGTCCATGAGAAGTAAAAGTCTTGCTTTGAAAATATTACTCAAGTAAAGGTACAGAAGTATTATCAGCAAAATGTACTTAAAGTATAAAAGTACTCATTATGCCATTGGTGCAATAAAAAGCATTTTAATGCGGCATCCTTTATATGCTCATTAAGAGGTTTTAAAATCCAAGCAAAGTAACCTACAGCTGTCAAATAACTGAATGAAGAAACAAACCGATCCAGGAGAGCTGCATATGAAAACATTTATTATAGGCTAATAAGAGATCACATGTATTAACTATTACAGAAAACAGATGACCCCACATTTTAATTAGCAAGTTTGTTTTTTTGACATCAGAACAGAGTGAATTGATCGGTCATACATCCAAAATACAAAAAAAAGGAGACCAGTTCTGTTGATAAATAAAAACCCTAAAATTCCTACACCTTTTTTTTCTTTTTGGCAAAGTGCTGTATTATTCCAGTAAACTACACAAAAATGAAAATGTCTAACACTTGGTGAAAAATAAAAATGCCACAAAATATTCTTCACACAAACAAAAAAACAAGGAGAAAAAACAAAGTTTTGCTACATCATTCTGTCTGGTTTGTTGAGTCCTATTAAAAGCTGCACACGGGCTGGGAGGCGGGCGGCAGCGGCAAGAGCGAATAAGCTTCCTCCGAGTGGTGCATAGCTGGTTTCTGATGTCTGTTTGTGTTTTTTGTATTTATTAAGTCCACACAGGACGTAAAAGGGAAAAAAGGGAGTTCAAGTTCTTCATTGATGCATTGTCATTAGAACATTTCAACCTGGAAGGCACGTGATCCACAAATTTCAAGGCAGTGAACAAAAACATTACAAATCCCTGTTACTTTGATGATGGAGAGATGAACTGAGGACAGAAACTATAAAATAATAACATAAAAAAAATAAAGGCTCCTGACAGCAGGAGGAGACAGATCATCACTGTCCCGTCTCCTCCGATCCCTTCTGTCTTTAAGTTCGCCTTTAAAAAACAAACAAAAACATCGTGGTAACACAAAATAACATCGTCCACGATTGCGAAGCTCTTAAGCAGAGAGTGAGAGAGAGAGAGAGAGAGAGAGAGAGAGAGAGAGAGAGAGAGACATTTGAGAAATAAAAGAAAAGCTGAAACACACCAGAGAGAGCCACACCACTATTCAATAAGATTATTTACAGAAAACCGTACTGACGCCTAACAAACGTTTGTTAATGCTACCGTCCCATCGACACGAACACAGACAAACTGAAGCCAGATTTGACTGGAGATTCAGGAACCACACTGCAAACAACCTTCTGTCTTTGTATTACATGTTTATATACTGCAGACGTATATATTTTGTATTCGTGTAGCTTTAAAACAGAATCCACTCCCTGAACTTTGTCAAAATGGCTGATGAAATGATTTCCTGTTTATGATGTGTTTAACATTCGATTTGGCCTCTGAAATCACCGTGAAATGGAGGTTGGATCAGAGTGTTTAGAAGAAAAAGTCGACAAAGCGTGAAAGTCTGGCCTTTCACAACAGCTTTTTATTTTTTTTAATGACAAAGTAGAAATTTGTAAATTCACGCTGGCAAATTTCCCCCACACATCTTAAGAACAAAAAAAGGACAAAAATAATAATAATTAAGAATGGAAGCCCATTTTTGCCAAGAAAAGAAAAAATGGTGAAAGTTAGCAATGATTTAAAAAAAAAAAATTCTAATACTCCCCTTAAGTCAAAAATTATGATATGCAATCTCAAGTTTGACTTATTACCCTTAAGAACTTTACTAACTGTGCTAAGAGTTTTAAAGTGATACTTTTAACTTAATACTTAACTTAATAAACTTCAATTAATAGCCTGTATGCTTTTATTTGCTTAAATCACTGAACTCACCCTGCCTATATTTGGGACAGGCCTTTAATTCCTTTACCATTCCGGTAAAATCTGAAAGAATTAAACTTTGGTGCTCGTTTCCATAAAATGAACCAAACCATTGAACTGTGCAGAATCTAGCTGATAGCATATCCATATTAAGAAATATTAAACATTTATATTGGTATGCAAGATCTAAGCAGCTTGGACTTGGCTGAAGAGGGCGACCTGTTTTATACATCCAG